GGGGGGGGGATGAGTGCTGATGGGGTCCTCCTGGGAGAGGGCTGGGGAGGGCTCGTGGTTCCCCTGGGAGGCCAGGATTGGTCTGGGTAGGAGTGCAGGGTGGGAAGGGGCCTCCTTCGCGTCCTCCCTGCAGAAAAGTCAAATGCCCACTGCCCACCCCAGACCCTGGCCCCTAAGGTTCGACCCCCAAATACCCAGCTCAGCTGTCGCCCTCCACCCCTGCTGGGCCGCAGCCACCAGCTCTGCCAGCACCTGAGTGGCTGCGGTCTGGACCCAGTGGGCTGCTGGGAAGGCGGGACACAGTTGTGCAGAAAAGAAACCAGCCCCCGCCAGCACAGTTAGTCAGCCGGCAGAGAACTGCACCTCCAGTCACCCGCGGCCGTCCTGGGACGGCCCCTGGCCCGAGCCTGCCTCGCCCAGCTCCTCTGTACCATGGGCTCTGCAAATCCCTCCCCAGAGGCAGCGGGAGGATCCTGGGGGGGACCGGGAACTGGCCCCCTACCCCTCGGTAGTTGGTCCCATTGTTTGCTCTGAGCACCACCATCGTGCGGGGGCCTCGCCGGGCCTTGCTGGGCTCGGGCGAGGAGCAGGCTCAGGGGCTGTGCGTGCTACCCAGGCTCAGAGGTTGGCAGGCTCAGATCTGGCTACATTTGGCGACAGGGCCGCACACCTTGGGGAGGTGCTGCTGACAGCCTACGGCGCGACCCTCTGCCCTGTGCCAGCTGTCAGCACCCCTGAGCACCCCGTGTGTTAGACACTGTCACCAGCGCTTGGGGATACAGCCAGGAATGCACAAAGACAGGGTCAGCGACAGCGTGTGGGGAGGGGACGGCACCCATGCCCCCACTTGCCCGATGAGGAGCTGGCCCGGTGACCGTGTTGCGTCTGGACCACCAGCCCCTGGTGTCTGCTGTTTTGGCAGAGACGGGGCCAGAGCGGGTGTGGGGGGGCCCTGTTACTGCTCCCTAACACCCGTCCCTTCTCCCCCAGGTGAGGGGCCTTCCCAGGCCAGGAGGGCTCCCTGCTTCCAACAGACCCGGACTTTTCCTCCCGTAACTTACGACCGTGTTTGGGCCCAGCCCTCCCCTCCCCCTCCCCTTGCCCACCCCCCAAAATGTGAAGCGCTCACGGAAGGCCACCGCGAGTGGGGAGGGGGCTCCTGAGTTGGGGGCCGAGGGGTCCACACGCAGCCCGCCTGCGGGAGCCCTGGCGTGCGCTCGCACCCGCGGCCGGCCGCCCTGCGACCTCCCTGGTAGGCGCATACAGAGCTATATACAGTATTTATATTTTTTGAGACTAGATCGTGGGACCAAATTTTTCCGACTTCCTTCCATCCGAGAGAGGGTGACCCTGGGCCGGTCACCCAGGAGGGACGTAGGAAGGCCTGAGGCTGGCCGGGCGCGGGGAGCACCGCCCGGGTGCCCCCTGCCTCCCAGCTGGGACGCAGACCAGGACCCTGCCAACACGATATACCTCCGGGAGTCCTGGCCCCGCGACCACAGTTCCCGCGGGCCTGCGGACTCAGCCAGCTCGAGTGTCCCTGGTTCCAGCTGCAGCTTCGGGACAAACCGTCCTCGCCCCCGATCCCGCCTTCCCAGAGTAGGTACTGAAGAGACCCTGTGACCCGCCCTCCCCGCCCCACCCCTGCGTCATAGCCTTACTGTACGACCAGTAGCCCTTAGCTTCCCGTGGGGCAGACAGGCTTGGGGGCCTCCCGCCCTCGCCGCCCCCTCCCCAGGGCGGGTACGCATCGTCCCTGCCTTCGGATCACCAGCCTCGGATCAAGGTCTTGTCACCGAGCTTGCCAAATGCGTTGGACAAGCCCCGCCCGGACTGGCCGGCACCCCCTTTGGTCGAAGACAGAACTCCACAGCGACCTTCAGACCTCTGCAGAGACTTGGGGTTTGTTTTGTGGGGTTTGGTTTGGGTTTTGGTTTTTCTGAGCAGGTAACAAAGAAGAAAAGAGAAGAGAAAACAATCCAAGACAGAGGGGTTTTGTTTCCAGTTGGGGGGGCTTCGTGGCTTTGCGGGGTGCCTCTGTCCAACCGCCAACCCGCGACACCCGCTGAGCACAGTTTCTGTGGACATCCAGGGGTCCTCCTGCCAGACGAGGCGCCGGATCACTTAATAAGCTCAAAAGAAAAAAAAAAAACATTTAAAGAGAAGAAAACAAACAGCATACCCTCTCGTTGTTACCAAAATGTGTTAACTGACCCAGAAAAAAAAAAAAAGACAAAAAAAAACACATAGCAAAAAAGAAAAAAAACTTCCGACCGATCGGTTTCGATATTCCGAGTTTGATAATTGTCCTGAGACGTCCCCTCGTGGGCCTGTGCCCTGCGTGTGTCCGTGTGCAAGTGTGCCCAGGGGCCCTGCGGCCGCCCGGGAGTGTGTGTGCTGTGCGTGTCTGTCCGCTCCACGTGTCCCGGCTGTAAATACCATTTTTATACTCCACGTCGAAGACCTTGTGATTTGTACGACCCCCTTTATTTCTGCTACCAGTACTTTACACACACACACACACACACACACACACACACACGCGCGAGGATGAAGGACTGCCAGGGGTCGGGCGACTTTCGTGCTGGAGAGTTCCCACGGCTGCAGGAGTCCTTGTCACTGTCGTGTGTTTGAGGTGAGAAGCAGCAAGCATCGTCTTAATGTCCAAAACGCCTCTCTTTGGCCTGAGAAAACGAGAAGTTTATTTAATAAAAGTTTTACTTGCTAACGGGCTGCCTTTTTCCTTATTTCCCTCTCCCGGCGAGACAGGCCGGCTGGGTCAGGCCCGTCGGGTGCCCTGTCTGATGGGCGGTAAGAACACACTGCGCGGCGGGGAGAGACCGCGAGGGCAGGTCTGGAGTTCGAATACCCGGTATGCCGCCGGGTTAACCCTGAAGCTGGCGACAGGGTGGTGGGCCGGCCACATGGCCTAGTGGTCAAGGCGGCTGGATCCCAGGTTCGAATCCTAGACCCAGCGGCTTGCAAACCCTCCAGGTTGACACGCACGCGTGCCCGAAGCCCGACAAGGTGAAGTGGAGAAGGGATTGTGGTGTGACCACGCCCCACGGGGGCACCCGTTCGTCCCCTCTTGTTCGCTGTCGAGTGCATGCATCCTCTGGCGACTAAAAAAGAAAAAGGAAGAGCAAGGGGCCGGTAGGTGGCATGGTGGATGAGGCGCTGGGTTCCCACATGGCTGAGTGTGGTTCAAGTCCTGGACCTGGGGGCTTGCTTTTTCACTTTCCCTCGCCCGCTCGCTCTCTCTTTCTCTCTGGTGGGTGCACGTGCCGTGGAGCAAATTTTAAAAAATATAACAATAATAAAGATACAATTAAATAAGGAATTGTTTAAAAAGGAAAGGGGGCTGGCAGGTGGCATGCGGCTCACCTCGCTGGACTCCCACACGGCCGACCGGGTCCGCCTGGGCGCTGGAAACACCGTGTGCGTGCTCGTGTGTGCCCAGCTCCTGGGAGCAGAACGAAGGAGAAGGGATTGCGGCCTGGCCACCCCCCGGGGGGATTCCTCACTTTGTCTCCTACTCTCTCTGTCTCTCCCTCTGGCAAGCACACGTGCCCAAAGGCAGAAACCTCTTAAGAAAGAATGAAAAAGAAAGGAAGGAAGGAAGAAAAAGAAGAAAGAAATGGTGTTCTTTCCCTTTTTTATTTTTAATTTATTTTTTCTTAGAAATGGTGTTCTTTTAGCGGGTCCACATGCCGTTGACCCTCTCACAGACTCACTCAACAAACGCACTGATCACCTGCCGAGCCGGGCACCCAGGACACCACAGTGACTGAGGTGGCCGTGGTCTTTGCCCTCACGGGGACGGCCCAGCAGGGGAGATAAAAGCCACATCGCAGAAAAGATATTTGATCATTCTTGCCCCTTTTCTTAAGGTTGCCATGAGGCACATGTGCTTGCCTGAGACAGAGGGGTGAGAAATCCGCACCTGGGGGTGGCCATGCCACAGTCCCTCCTCTCTCCTGGGACTCAGGGCACGCATGCGACACGCCCATTTTAGCTTTCTAAAGTGTGCAGTCAGTGATGTCACTGCACGCGTGGTGCTGTGCAGCTGTCCCCATCTAGTTCCAGAACATTCCGCCACCCCAAAGGAAGCCCCATTCCCGGGAGCACTCCCTCTCCCCAGCCCCACACCCACACCCTCCCTGCCTGTGTGGACCTTCCCGTTCTGGGCGTCCCACATATGGGGGCCCGCCCTGTGTGGCCTCTGTGTCCGTGTCACTCTCTGGCCAGCCATGTAGTGGACTGTGTCTGCGCCTCCTTCCTGCTCACGGCTGAGCCGTGTCCCACGTGGACGGCCACACGGTGTCTGTCCACTCCTCTACTGGCGGCCAGTCCGGCTGCTTTACCTCTTGGCGGTTCTGAACCCAGCCACGTGAGTGCCGTGGCTGGTTCCTGTGTGGGGTGTTTTCATGGCTTCGGGGCGGATACCCAGCGGAACCGCTGGTCACGTGGTGACTCCATGCCAACCCCCTGCAGAGGTACACGTGAGTTCAACTGGAATGCTGAGAGAGGCGGTCCCCAGCTGGACCCAGCTGACCCAGTCGAGGACACTGGGAGAGGTGTCCCCACGGAGGTGACATCTGAAGGACAAGTCGAGAGAGAGCCATGGACACAGCTGCCCTGCTCCCCTCTGTGACAGGATGCCTTAGGGTGTGTGTGCCAGAAACGGACCCTGGGCCCTGGGCCTCCGCACCGAGAGCCCAATAAACCTCGATCCTTTTTTAATTTTAGAATTATTTAGTTTAATTTAATTTAATTTAATTTTGTATTCTTTTTTTAATTTACAATAGGACACATGTGGTCCCCAGAGTGAGACAGAAAGAGGAGGAAAAGTGAGAAAGCAAGCTGCCAGGTCTGGGACTCAAACTACGGTCAACCATGTGGGAGTCCAGCACCTTAACTGCCAGGCCACCTGCAGGCCCCTAAACCTCTGCTTTTATAAATTAAAAGAAAGAAAGAAAAAGAAGACAGATAAGTAGCGAGTCACGTGGGGAGGGGAGGAGGGACAAGTGGCCGTGGGAGGGCTCAGGGAGGGTTTCGGACCTAGTTGTGCTCAGAGCCAGGGCTGCCAGGCCAGGCCGAAGGTGGGCGGGGCCAGGCGAAGACAGGCGGTGCCAGGCTGGAGGTGGGTGGGGCCAATCCAAAGGCAGGCTGGGCCAGACTAAAGGTGGGCGTGGCCAATCCAAAGGCAGGCTGGACCAGACTAAAGGTGGGCGTGGCCAATCCAAAGGCAGGCGGGGTCAGGCCGAAGGTGGGCGGACCAGCCGAAGGTAAGCGAGGCCAGGCTGGCAGGGAGGGGACCAGGGCGGCCTGGCAGCAGCCCACCCGGACGATGAGGTGGCCTAGGGCAATGCCTCTTTTTGGTTTTGGTTTTTACATTGCAAGAGGCTTGTGCGCTCGCCCTAGGGGAGAAAGCACCCTGGGCGTGGTGGCCCCCAGCCCCCTCTCCATCCTCCCCCCTGCCGGGGAAAGCAGGGTAGGGGCCAGGACGAACACATGACTACCCAGGGTCCGACAGGCTGGAGGACGTAGGGGTCGCGGTGTAAGCAGACACTGCGACGGTGCTCCTCCGGCTCCTCACTCCCACCCGTGCGCACGCTCAGAACAAAGAACATTTTTTTCCAAAAGCATTTTGACCTGGGGCCAGCAGATGGCGCAGCGGTCACATCGCTGGATTCCCAGTTGGCCAAGCGTGGTTTGACGGCTTGAGAAACGCCGGGCATGTGTGCGTGTGCACCCAAAATGCCAGGGAGAGAATGGGGAGGGGATTGTGGTGTGGCCGTCCCATCCTCCTGGGTGGCGACTTCTCACTTTCCCTCTCCGTTCTCTCTGACGAGCACACACGCCCACAGGCAGAAACCTCTCTAAAAAAAATCTAAAACATTCTGACACCAAAGTATTATTATATACTTAAATATATGTTTTAATAATGTCAACATTTATTAGTAATATGCATTTGTTCATTTACTATTATAAGTTAATAATCCTCATATATAATTTAGGAAATTAAGAATTCTCTTTTTTTTTCGAAGAGAGGTTTTTGCTATAGGGCACATGTACTTGCTGGAAAGACAGAGAGAGACAGAGACAGAAAGTGAGAAATCACCCCTCAGGGGGATGGCCTTCTCTTCTTGGGATCTTGGGCACGCATGAACATGAGCCGGCGTGAGTTTAAGCCACTGGGTCCGGGACTTGAACTGTGGTCAGCAATGTGGGAGTCCAGCGACATAACCATTACGCCATCTGCTGGTCCCAAGAATTCACTGTGTGTTTACCTCTCCCATGAGAGACAGAGAGGCTGCACACCCAGCAGGGTCCTGATGCCACAGTCTGCCCAGCCTCGGGCCACGCTGGACCACGGACACGCCACACCAAGCATGCTCAGGGAGGTGGTGGGATATGAACCCACGACTCTCCCATGTGGGCCCAGTTGCTGTGCCACTGCCTGCCCCCACACTCTGCTTTGAAAGGTCAGTTCTGAGGGCCAGCATGTAGCATAGTGTTTAAGGTGCTGGGTTCTCACGTGGTCAGCTGTGGTTCAAGACCTGGACCTGGTGCCTTGAAAACTCACACTGGACGCGTGTGCGTGCATGCTCAAGATCCCGGGAGGAGAATGGAGGAGAAGGGGTTGCAGCATGGCTGCCCCCCGGGGGGTGATTTCTCACCTCCTTTCTCACCGTCTGTCTCTGCCTCTCTCCTCGCTGACAAGCTCCCTATGACAGAAACCTAAAAAGAAGAAAAGCAGGACTAGTGGGTGGCAGAGTGGTTACATTGCTGGACTCCCACGTAGTCGACCGTGGTTCGAGTTTCAGACCCGGCGCCTTAAACCTCACCCCGGCCTCATGTGCATACAGGCCCAAGATCCCAGGAGGAGAATGGAGAAGGGATTGCGGAATGGTCATCACCCCGTGGGATGGGGTGGTTTCTCACGTTCTGTCTCTCTGTCTCTTTCTCTCTGGCTAGCATACCCTATAGCAAAAATCCTTCTTAAAAAAAAAGAAGAAGAAGAAGAAAGAAAGAAAGTCCAGATCTCCCATAGTTGAGCCTTGAACTTCCGCATGGTTCGTATGGTTCGGATCCTCACAAGTTTCCAAGGTACTGCACAGATTCTGAAATTCCTGAGGACTGAATGCTAAAGGAAGCAAGATCGGACTACTTGGGAAGGAGCGTGGGTGTTTACCGAGCACCTGCCACGTGTGCCGCGTGATTCCAGGAGCTTTATTTTTTTTTTAAAGAAATATGTATTTAATTTTATTTGTTACTATTTTTAAAATTTGACCTGAGAGAAAGGGAAAGTGAATGGAAAGTAAGTTGCCAGGTCTGGGATTCGAACTGCCCTTGGTCATGTGGGTGTCCGCCACCTGCTGGCCCCTCCAGGTGCTTCACCAGGATGAGCTCTTTTCGTCACCAGGGCACCCATGAGGCAAGACCCAGATCAGTAATGGGGACCCAGAACAGTCAGGTTTTCCCCAGAGGACCGGGGGGCCCCTCACACGGAGACACCCTGCAGGGCTGCAGTGAGTAAGGTGGCGTGCCCTCCGTGCCCGCCGGGCTTCGTTCTTTGCTCCCTGGAGCCCAGCACGTGGGGACTACTACGTGTTCTAAAACCACACAGATGACGTGTAGACTGGGCTGCCCCGGGTTTGAATCTGGGCTAAGGACATTTCCCATTTACACGCCCTCGGACCAATAGTCAGATTCTCTTGCGGATCG